CATAGAAACCCCCACGGGGCCCATCTTTGAACTTGACCTCGGCATTCTCAACGGTAACTTGCCCACTAAAAATCATGAACATCCATTTAAGGATACTCGAGATATCTTGATGACAAGGAAAAACACCAAAACCAAGGTCAATTACAGTGACTTAGGAACCCCCCACGAAGCCCATTTTTAGCCTTGACAATGGCCACCCCCAAATCAACCTGCCTGCCAAAAATCGTGAACCTCGGACCATGCCTTCAAACTTTACCGTGCATAATCTACAAAACAGGCCGAAACCGATTTCATAGCCTTCTCGTCGAAGGCAATGAAAATGTACTAAAAATTGTTCTTGTTCTTCAGTATAGGAATGTTACTCTGGGACTCAAACACTTTAAATTTGTTTGCATTCCATTGAATCCAGTGAGTGTATGTACACAAGGACATTATGTGTAGGTAATTCTTAAAACTTGCTACAAAAGTTATAAGATTATATGTTTGCCAATATCAACTCAGATTGAAATACTCTTCCTCAATGTATTTCCAAAGGATGTTTTCCTGGATGGAACTATTTCAAGCAATGGTGAGGATGGTGAAGCCCAAGCAGACAGCGGTGGTGGTAGTGGTGGTACCGTCATGATAAACTGTCAGCAGATCACAGGACATGGACTGGTGCAGGCAAATGGGGGTGTTGGAAAGGTCTTATCAAGCCATTATGGTAGGCTACTCTAAAATTAGTTTGTAAAAAAAAAGACCTTAGTTTGCTATATATAATGTGTTCAGAATTGAACAAATTGAAAAAATATCTTCAGTTCAGGTTTCCTTCTGGCAATTGATATGAATTGACAACATGCTCATATACAGAATCTTTAAGATTCCCTATTTATAGTACATGTAAGTATGAATAAGTATGACACAAATGAACTTCAGTCTAGAATTTGACACAGTCTGCAATGTTCTTCGGTCAGTTTTTCCTGGTCCTTTCCTTGATTCGTAATCAACTTGACATGCAGTCCAGTACTACTGTATACATTAACTCTAGAACTTAACTACAACTTTAAGAAGTTTCCTGACAAACACCTGCGTGGTGATTCCGTTTCACTTTGTGTCTGGATGCATTGATCAGAATCACACATATGTCATTGTGTTTTGTCTTGTATAAAACAGCAAATGGTGGAGGAAGTGGTGGACGGGTTGCCATCCACCAACGGGAGACCTTCAGCTTCCAAGGGACTGTTGAAGCCCTCGGAGCAGATGGACAACATTATGGTTCAGCAGGGACTGTCTACATCCGGGAGACACTGGGTGACACAGTGTACAACCAACTCTGGCTGGACAACAAAGGTAGAACGTGCCGCAATCATGTGGTCATCGACGAAAGTGGCCAAGGCAACTTCACCTTCCACCGAGTCCATCTTGTGCGAAAGGCATGTCTGCAAACCAAGCAGGTAAAAGGACATTTAGAACGTTAGTTTATTTGCTTAAGAAAATTGTATGTTGACTTCATATTGTACATATTAAATAAATAAGAAAGTGTCACAGTGACTATATTTCATGCCATCTTGTCTAGTAAGGAATTGATTTCTATGTGACTGTCACAGCAACATCACAAACCATGATTTTAACTGAGTGTATCATACAATCTGCCACAACCAATGCTTAACACATTGACTTTCTTTATTCGTCTTTTCTCCCTTTTTGATTAGTTGCCAAGTGGAAGTGCAACAGTGAGAATCACACAGGTCACTGGAGATGGGACTGGAACACTAACAATAAGAAACAGTCACTTTGCATTCATCCAAACTGATGAACTTTGCACCTTCATACCTGCCAATGTTGTGGTGGAAAGTGGAGGATACTTGGTACTACCATTAGAGACCACAATACAGTCCACCCTGCAGGTTAGAGGTGCCCTGTATGGAGTTGAACACCTTTATGTCAAGGGAACTGTTAAGTTTTACAACTCTGGGTACAGCGCTTGTCACAATTGTACACTGGGAAGTGGAGAAAGAGGTCAATACTGGTTCACAGGGGTAACTGTTCTCAATGGAGGAAAGTTAGAAATTGTGCGAGGCAGGACAACAAACCTTCACCACTACTCTGTTCAAGTCAGGACATCTGAATACTTTGATGTGGACTATGGAGGGGAAGTGAGCGTTGGGGATGGTGTTGTTATCTACACGCTTGATACAAAGGTAGAAAAGACTGCTGTGATGAATGCTAATGGAGGTGGTTATGTTGCTGAATGTGGTCCTGGACATGGTAGTACCTGTAGTGGTGGTCATGGAGGTGGGGCAGGGCATGGAGGAAGAGGGGAATTGTCCTGTGCAGGAGGGACATATGACGAGGAATGTTCCCCAACATGGGTGGGCAGTGGGGGTGGAGACTGCACTCATGGTGGAGGAGGCACAGGAGGTGGAGCTATGAAGGTTGTGAGCAGCCGGCTGCTACAACTGGAGGGAACATTGACTGCTGATGGATCTCAAGCATCTTCAGGGGGAGGAGGAGGAAGTGGAGGCACAATATGGATTGATGGATTATACGTGGAAGGCTGGGCAGGTACCTCCAGTACTGGTGGCGATGGTCATCACCACTGTTTTGGGTACCGCTGCAGAGACACACACACTGGTGGTGATGGTGGGGGTGGTCGCATCAGAAGTTACTCACCAAATAGCCTTCCCAAGGTGCTCCGGTATCGCCGCACAGTCAAGGATTCCTCACACAACTCCAATGCTGGAACAATATCTGAAGTAAACACATGCTGCAGCGGCCGTGGTGTGTGGCAAGAAGACTCAGAATCCTGCACCTGTAATGACGGTTTCACCGGGCTTGGCTGTCAGGTCGAGTGTGATGATGTCGGGACCTGTAACGGACAAGGTGTTTGTGATACAACTGGTGAGTGTGAATGTAACCCAGGCTTTGTAGGCTACCGATGTGAACATCAGTGTGACCCTACAGTACACTGCAGTGGGAATGGTGTCTGTAGTCCATATGGCACTTGCATATGTGATCCTTGCCACACAGGCAGTAATTGTTCTGTTCTGTGCAGTGGACATGGTTCATGTGACAATGGGCACTGTCAGTGTGACTCATGCTACCTTGGTCCATACTGTCACTCTGAATGCAATGGGAAGGGAACTTGCAATGGTGGAGAATGTGAGTGCATAGAAAGCTGGCGAGGAAAGTTGTGTACAATCGCAGGTTGCCCTGGCCAAGGAGAAGATTGCTCCGGCAGAGGCATTTGTAACGCCTACCTCCATGAGTGTATCTGTGAACCAGGTTGGAAGGGAGAGGACTGTACAGTTGCTGACTGTCCAGGAGAACCCAACTGCTATGACAGAGGGCACTGCAATTCCACCACAAACCCACCCTCATGCCAGAACTGCCAAGCAGGGTGGATGGGACTGGCCTGTAACAATCCATGTGTGCACGGTGTGCAGGAGCCAATGGACAGTGGGGTCTGTGTCTGTGAGCCGTGCTGGAGTGGAAAAGGGTGTAACAGTCTCTGCTCTGGTCATGGCACATGTTCAGATGACAACTCTACATGTATTTGCGATCCTCTGAGTGGACGTAGAGGTGATGTCTGCGAAGTCCCCGGCTGTCCAGGCATTGAAGAAGACTGCACTGGCCATGGAGACTGCAATAGTGGGATTCATGAGTGTGAATGCTACAACGGATGGATTGGTATTGGCTGCCACATCCCAGACTGCCCAGGAACTCCTGACTGCCACAGACGTGGTTTCTGTAACACAACAGGGGAAACGCCAACGTGTACCAACTGTATCAGTGGCTGGATGGGGCCAGCCTGTAATGACCCATGTGTCCACGGTGTTCAAGAACCAATGGACAGTGGCAACTGCAGGTGTGATCCTGGTTGGGCTGGGTTGGGATGCAACTCAGAGTGCTCAGAGCATGGAGTCATTGTTGGTGGCAGATGTGAATGTGATTATGACACAGGATGGAAGGGTGAGCTCTGTGATGTACCTGGCTGCCCAGGACTCTTTGGACTTGACTGCAGCGGGAGGGGTGGCTGTGATAGTGCAACACACCAGTGTACATGCTATGAAGGCTGGACAGGGGCAGGCTGTGAATATGCTGACTGCCCAGGAAGTCCAGATTGTGCTGGAAGAGGCATGTGTGATGGATCTACTAGTCCACCCGTATGTCGGAACTGTACACAAGGTTGGATGGGCCCTGCCTGTGAGGATCCATGTGTTCATGGACATCAAAGCCAATGGACAGTGGAACTGTGTTTGTGACTCTGGATGGGTGGGAGTAGGATGTGACTCAGAGTGTTCTGGA